GAAAGCATATCTTTTCCCCTTTTCTTTTCTTCTTACTCTTTATTTTCTTTCCCTTTCTCTCCTCTTTCCCATTCCCTCCCTCCCTTCTTTCTTTCTCTCTCTCTCACTCCCTCTCTCTCTCTCTCTTTTGCTGAGGGGGGAGGGGGAGGCAAGGGCCTTTCGCCCCCGATCCACACCTTGTTGGCGGGGGAAATCGCAACTGATCTCCCCTACCTTTCTTCTTCCTCCTTGTTTTCTCTTTTCCTTTCTCATCTCTTTCCCTTCCCCTTCCCTTCCTTCTCTATTTTTAAAGTTTGCTGGGGGAGGGGGGAGGGGGGAGGGGGGAGGCGAAGGCCTTTCACCCCCTACCCGAACCACATGTTGTTGGCTGGATTAATTGCATTTGACCCCCCTCCCTTTCTTTTCGCCTGTTTCTTTTCTTCTTTCCTTTTTTTGTTTCCTGTTAGCTCTCCTCTTCTCATTTTTTCCCTCTCCTAGCTTCCTTCTCTCTTTTTTTAGGGAGGGGGGGGGGGGGGTATCAGCCTCGGAGGCAAGGCCCTCAGTTGCCCCCCCCCCCGATCTCTTGTTTCCCTTATGGTTTTTTTTCTCTCTCTCTCTCTCTTTGGCGGGGGGAGGGGGAGACCCCTTCGGCCCTTCCATTGGATCCGTGCCTGGCCGTAGGTGTGTCCCCTATCCAATATGTACTGACCTGAGCAGTTTTGTAATAGTGAGCAGGCCCCGTACGTACTGAGCTGAGCAGCTTTGTAACAGCGGACTTGATTGGTTGCCTTAAAAATCAATTGACGAGCGTACTGCGCATCCGTCTGGAAAAAGGGCACACGTCTGCTAAATAACAGGCGGTGATTGGTCAATTAGCAGACGTCTAGCTGCCTGTTATTTAGCAGACGTGTGCCGAGTTCCATACGTCTGGGGCTTGTGAATTAAGTCACCAACGGCCTTCCATAAAATGAATGCACTCACATGCGAATCTATCTCTATACTATCAACGGCGTATCTAAGAGTCGGGGGACTATACCCCCTGTCCCACTCCTCCCTTGGAGCGATGGGTGCGTCGACTAGCCTTGTCCATAATATGGCCGGTTCGACCAGTTCACGGTTAGCACAATATCCCAAATGACCCCGAATATCCACAGATCTTCAAAACATGAATAAGTCCCACTTTGTACATTATAATAATCACTCCTACAACGATGGAGGTGCTACATAAATAGCCTTTGTTTTCCCTTTTCAAAGATTACTTCCAGCACCTGTGTATCATGGAGTACACTGCTAGTGCATAAATGGATAATGATTACATAACTGGATATATTTCATGTACAACCAACTGGAGAAAAAATGAACAAACAAACAAAGAAAGAAAATACCTTAGATCTTAGTTTCAGCCTTCATTTTTGGTAAAGAACACCGTTTTCTGCTAATATATCATGGTCGTGCCTATAGATAGTATATCTAGTCACTTGATTGGCTGAAGGCATATCACCTGACCTTCATTTTTTACTATTCACCCAAGGCTTCTCCAGCCACGTTATAATAGTTATTTCATGCAAATATATAAGCCATACTGAACTACGTTCAGTCTGTCTCTTAAGTTTGTAAGATTTTACGAAACTACACATAAATTTGGACTCATTTATTTGTTTTACATCTTTTCATGAAATAATTGTGATAATATTGTTTATTATAGATAAATTATGGAACGTGTCTTCTCAGAACCTAAACAATTTATCCCTTTGACTCTTGATTGACAAATAACATTCTGAGAAGATATAAGCTAAACAGTTGAAAGTACAAGATATACACAAGTTGCAATTAGCCAGTTTTATGTTCTCATACTTGCACGGTCTGCTGCCAATGTTTTTAAATGATTGTTTTCCCGTAAATTGTTCTCTTGTACCATACTCTACTAGACAGTCCAACCACATTCGAATTCCAAAATATAAGTATGAATTTTCCCGTACCACAATCAAATTTAGTGGTCCTAAATTGTGGAATAGCCTTGGGCCGGATATAAAGAACCGCCCTTCCTTATCTAGTTTTAAAAGAATATTTAAATCTAATCTTATTCAATCATACACTCTCTGAGTCTGCAAAGCGGTACGTTTGCCTTTTTTTGTTGTTGTATGTCTTCCTGTTGTACCATTTAATTTATACTTAATTATTTATATAGTTTGGGGACAAGCCTTTGATAGGCCTTTGGCCTTGTTTGTCCCCCACATTTTGATTCTTCTGTTCTGTTGTGTTATTTGTTTGAATTGACTTTGTATTGTAAACGTTGTTATTGTGATTTTTATCAGAATGTGAAATAAAATAAATTGAATTGAATTAATCATTTTCATAATAAATCGTATTCTCATAAAGATAAAATCATGTATCTGAAGAAAAGATAAAATGTTTCAAATTTATTTTATAAAATAAATAAAATCTAAAATCTTATGAAAAATATTTTCTTATCAAAGTAGATTTGCGGTCGATATCATATTAATGCACTGTCTTGCTGTTTTTATTTATATAAACCATGGATGTAAAGTACTTGGTTCATCGCACTACACGATAATCCTACGATCCGATTTTTCAAAGAAATATAGCAATTATATTAGAAAAAGAAATCAAAACAAATATTCTTTCCCGATTAAAGTTCTAAATAATGAAATGATTAATAGTAACAAAACATTTGGGGCGTTTAACTTTAACATTTTAGTTAGAAATCATTTTCATATCATCGCACTTCTAGTCTGACGTCACGAGGATTTAGCTATTCCTCCTCCAAGGAAGCATGAAATTCTTTTGAAATTTAAAATCTATTAATCATATGATTATTCAGAACGTCTGTCATTTAGATTTTACATTTGTTATTGTTCATATCAAATGCGATTGTACATTTTCCCAAAACCAGATAGCAGTCAGAGCCATATAGCTCCGTTTAGTCTCATTTGACAACGCCCCTATCGTCAGAGTCAGCAGCCTAACATGTTAGCCTATTGAATTTTTACCCCCCCCCCCCCCAAAAAAAAAAAAAAAAAAAAAAAAAATCGTTTAAAAATTATTTTTTTGTTTTAAACGAAAAGCACATCCACCCCGACGTACGGTCTCACTAGCTCTGCCATTGGAACCCTCATGTCCCATTGACTTTTGAAAGTTCACCCACCGTAATTTGATCAAAATAGGTTGCAAGCTCGCCATTGCCTATAATACACATGTGAAACAAGTTGAACTTTGGACTCAGTTTAGCCGACCGATTGTAAGATTATTGGTCAAGCACACGAAGGATTAGAAGCATGAATTATCATAGATCACGTCTGCTTGGTTCATTATGTCCATTTCATCCAACCCCCACCGTAATTTTTCTATTTAGTAAAAGCAAACATTTTGCCAAGGTAAGCAAAAACATGAATATTCATGATCACCATGGACTTTTCGATTATTTACAGAGGGGTGCATTTGTGCACCACATCAAACTCCCCTACTGTAAGTCAAGTATTTAATTGTATTATGTAGTTTGGTAGGTTTATTTTAATAACTGTTTAATTATCAGAAATCAATGATAGTTTAAAGATATGGAAAATGTTCTTGTATTTTATATTTAGCAAAGCAATCTCACATACAAATTCACTACCAAGTGTCGTCTAATCCACCGATTGTCGTCTGCTATATACGTCCAGCGAGCGAAAATGAGACAACCGGAGCAATATGGTATAGTGCGCTTTAAAGGGATCGTTTAACAATGTTAAATCTGAGATGCACAGCCCTACGTGTTATCAGTGTCTGTGATATGGTGTCATATTGAAGCCCTAAACAAATTGCGCTTCAAAATGATCAAGAATTAAGTGCCTCAAAAAAGTAAAAACCTTTGAGTGCCCGGTTTTACCATATTCTCCAATAGACTGTAGTGTTATGACAACCGTTTGGCAAACGCAAAATTTGATTTCGATTTTAATCATAAATATCTTGATAATTAGACAGGCGATCGGCTTGTAAAAGTCATGGGGTTCCTGACTGACCCAAAGGTTTATAATTATCATTGCAACATGAGCTAAATGAAGGATTTTTTTCAAAGAATCTAAGACAAAGTTACCGGATCCCTTTAAAGATAACGTTGAGTTCTAGTCATGCGATTGCGTTTTGAAAGAAACGTTGTGGAATCAATCAGAAAAGGTTGATCACCTAGCATATAAGGCAATTACAAAAAATATACATGTTTAGCGTCCCCGCCCGCTCCCTTGTTGGGGGCCGCCTCCTATTATTTTTGTTTTGAATTTTTATTTTTTTAAAGAAAAAAACACATAAAAAACACTGCTAAAATTGATGTATTTCTGATTTAAAAAAAAAAAAAAAAAAAATGTCGGCGGCCATCTTGAAAAATAGCCCGACTGTCAGGGAAAATATACCGAGCGGCCATTTTGAAGGAAAAAAAGTGGGCCTCCTCCTTCCTATTTTTCAAAAAAACAGGACGCTAAACATGTTTTTTTTTTGTTTAGGGGGGAGGGGGATGTGGGCTAAGTATTGATGTGTCCTGCAAGGTTCTGGAATTATCAAAATAATGATAAATTTGGCCCAGTCTTTGAAAAGTTACAAGCACTGTACACAGAACAGTGTATATGGGACTACACGAACATGTGGCATAAAAATCTGTCCCGATTTGTATGATGTTTCATGCCATATTTAGAATATTAAGGCATTTGAAGAGCCATGCTTTGCAGGGAACATTTTTTTATCTGATGTTCTTCCACACTTGCATTATAATACAATGATAACGCTCACAAGTTATTTTTCACCTCTTTCCAGAACTCAACCTTCTCTTCAAAGGCTTTATCGTTGTCAAAATGCAGCAATTAGGCCTAATTCAAATAAAATGTAAACGAAGATACACTGAGGAAATGAACATGTGGTTTTGAGCTTCGATTTAATCATGATTATGATTCACAAATTTGTAGACGCAGAAAAAAAATTAAAAACAGATCAATGATGGAAATAATGACGATTATATTATAAAGAAGGTACAATTTTCAAAAAAAAAGAAAGTAAAAAGGGGAAAAGAAGAGGAAAGCAGAAAACATTCTGCAACACTATTAATTTTGAATGTCTGTGCTTACCAAAAACACAAAATACACTCTAACCGAATATGATTTGATTCGGAAAGCAGTCGATCATGTAGTCTTTTGATTACATGTAAAGAGAAATCTGTCTAGAATTAAAAAAAAAAACATTACAAATTATGCACTGTAATTATTTGTATAAGAAAAATCCATTGTTAACAAAGAAGGCACTGCAAATTGTGATTTCACACATTTTAACTGTTTAATTTGAATAATAAAATAATTTTACAATTAAATTATTAGTGATATATGTCATTATCTGTTTACATATAAATAGAATTATGTCAACAATCATATTGAATAACCTTTAATTTACCAGGAGCGCTGATCGACACACTCACCTGTGTGCCTTGAGTGCTAATCGGGAAGAAAGTATGATCTGAACTATGTCTTTAATACAAAAGCCTTGGATAGTGACCCATTTCCAGCTTTAATTGAATACAAGACCAACTTTTTTTATGCCATATATGTGTTTTTTCACTTGAAATAGTAAAATTAACCTAGGGAACGATAGAGAAAAGTACACGTCCATAATTAAAGTATAGAACATGGATATTATGAGAGTGAAAAACAAAGAGTTGTTAACATCTATTTGTAATCTGTTGAATTTGAATCATAAATCATCGCTTAAACGTCACCAGAGAACGCCCAAAGCCGGACTTTATCTATCTTCTCTCATTGGAAGAAGCAGACTCCGCTGAGGCAGCGCTTTAGGCAGACTCCGCTGAGGCAGCGTTTTCGGCAGACTCCTCTGAGGACGAGCTGTCAGACTCCTCTGAAGACGAGCTGTCAGACTCCTCTGAGGACGAGCTGTCAGACTCCTCTGAGGACGAGCTCTCAGACTCCTCTGAGGACGAGCTGTCTGACTCTGAGGAATAGAGAAAAAATGATACAACATAAGTCTGGGATCTTCTGTTTGTCCACGTGTAATGTATGTGTGAAAATTAAATGATACTTGGCTTCACTTATTCATGTTAATAAGCGCGAGAGGAATTGTATTTTCTTCTAACAAACATAACGTATTGAATGATTATGACAAACAAATTGCCGAGTTTACTACACTACTATGTTTGGTTTATGGCTCATTTTCGGAATTTTCGAAAATATAGTTACCCTATTTAGCTTTCGGATTACAAGACTTCCAAATTATGAACCTTCAGAGAAACGAACCTTTGGCATTACGAATCTACAAAGTAACAAACTTGCGGAATTATGTACTTTTGGTAAACACGGCATGGATCAATTTTTAAACTTTGGGGTAAACCTGATCACGACTATTTACCTCCTGTACTTGCTGGAGCAGTGCAAACTACTCCGGCATCTTTAGAATGATCACAAGAGTGAACACCGAAACCAGCGTGTCCACACTCAAAAATAGTTTCTTCATCTCCTGTACAGGCAAGGCGAGATAGTTGAATGGGATCAGTGCCTTCTCCGAAATAAGCTTCTCCTGAAGCCTCCTGGAATCCTAGCATGCGGCAGACAACATTGGCATCGTTGATATCCCAGTCATCATCACAGATAGTTCCCCAGTCTCCGTTAAACTGGATTTCAACCCTTCCCTCTGCTGCGTTGTTTCCACCAACCAGACGTACAGCTAAAAGATTAAATCAAATGCTAATACTCATGACCATTCTATATTTTGAAAAATGAAACGTAACATTTTGGAATACCGCGTCAAAGCAATGATAACGACAATTATGGGTCTATCACAACCTGCGGAAAAACTTCCTCCGTTGTTTTTTAACAACATAATGGAGTTATGTACCATTTGGGAAAATGACTAACATACTGGACACATGAATGGAAGTTATAAATATTCCCAACAAAGGACTTAGGATTACTATTGCCCTCTAATCATGAAATGTTCTTGTTTATAAGATAAAGAATAAATGTATTTTACAGATGCTATTAAATATGCAATTGTGTCATGTCGGTATCAACAATAGGTCTGCTTTTCGTGAAAAATGATAGGTCTATGTGCAATATTCGTTTTTGATTGGTTTGATAAGCCATTTTTAACATTTTTACATCGACATGAAGTATAAGTACAATAATTGGATCCTGATTTGGGATGAAAGGAACCTGCCGTACATATACGTGGTCATACTTGGGGAAGTTTCTTTTTCGAAGTTTGGTTTTTAAAAGAGTTCATAATTCCAAAGATTTGTAAATTCGAAACACGAATATTTCGAATCAGGGGATTCATCATTTCGAAAATGAAATAGGGTTTATTTTTTCCAACATTGAATGCTCTTTTAAACAGTTCGTATATCCGAGGTTACACTATTCTGAAAAAGAAATATAATTTATTGTACCAAAAGTTCGACATTTCTTAAGCAATAAATTAAAGGATTGTAGCTCATTTTTGGAACTACGAACTTTCGAAAATATAGTTACCCTATTTAACTCTCGGAATTACAAGACTTCAAAATTATGAAAATTCAGAGAAACGAACCTTTGGCATTACGAATCTACACAGTAACAAACTTGCGGAATTACGTACTGTTTGTAAAACTACATGGAACCATTTTCAAACTTTGAGGAAAGCTGATAACGATTATTTACCTCCTGTACCTGCTGGAGCAACGCAAACTACTCCGGCACCTTCACCATTACACGAGTCACCGAATTTAGCGTATGCACACTCAAAGATAGTCAGTTCAGTTCCTGTACAGAAGAATAGGACAGAATAGGGTAGAAGAATAGGACCAGTGCCTTGTCCGAAATAAGATTCTCCTAGAGTTCCGGAAGCCTCCTGGAATCCTTGCATGCGGCAGACAACATTGGCATCGTTGATATCCCATCCATCATTACAGATAGTGCGCCAGACTCCGTCATACTGGATTTCAACCCTTCCTTCTGCTGCGTTGTTTCCACCAGCCAGACGTACAGCTAAAAGATTGAATCAAATGCTAATACTTATGACCATTTTATATTTTGAAAAGTGAAACGTAACATTTTGGAATACCGCATAAAAACAATGACAACGACAATTCTGGGTCTATCACAACCTGCGGGAAAACTTCCTCCGTTGTTTTTGTACAATTTGGGAAAATGAATAACATACTGGACGCACGAATGGAAGTTATAAATATTCCCAACAAAGGACTTAGGAGCACTATTGCCCTCTTATTATGAGATTGTCTTGTTTATGAGATAAAGAAAAGATATATTTCACAAATGATATTAAATATGCAATTGTGACATGTCGGTATTCATGATCGGCCTGCTTTTCGTGACAAAAGTATAGGTCTATGTACAATATACGTTTTTGATTGGTTTGATGAGCCATGTTTTAGATTTAAAGTCATGAAGTATAAATACAATTGGATCCTGAATTAGGATTAAATGAATCTGCTTTACATAATCGTGGTCATACTTGGGGACATTTCTTTTTCGAAGTTTGGTTTTTACAAAAGTTTATAATTCCAAAGATATGAAAATTCGAAACACGAATATTTCAAATCAGGGGGTTCATCATTTCAAAAGTGAAATATGGTTTATTTTTCCAATATTGGAAGCGCTTTTAGACAGTTCGTATAACCGAGGTTACATTATTCTGAAAAAAAAGAAATAAAGTTTATTATACCGAAAGTTCAAACTTTCTCAAGCAAAAAAAGGGTTATAGCTCATTTTCGGAATTACGAATTTTCTAAAATATAATTACCCTAATTTAATTTCGGAATTACAAGACTTCAAGATTATGAACCTTCAGAGAACCGAGCCTTTAGCATTACGAATCCACAAAGTAACAAATTTGCGAAATTATGTACTTTTGGTAAAACGACATGGAACCTTTTTTGTTATCTTTGTGGGTAAGCTGATAACGACTATTTACCTCCTGTACTTCCTGGAGCAATGCAAACTACTCCGGCAACTTGAGGATCATCACATCCGTTTGAATATGGGGTATCAGAGTGTGTACAATCAAGGATATCGTGCTCAGCTCCTGTACAACCAACGGCATCTATTTTAAAATAACCAGAGCCTTCTCCGAATCGAGCTGATCTTGGAGCTCCAGCAGCCCCCTTGAATCCTAGCATGCGGCAGACAACAGTGGCATCGTTGATATCCCATTCATTATCACAGATAGTGAACCAGTCGCCGCAATCCTGGATTTCAACCCTTCCCTCTGCTGCGTTGTTTCCACCAACCAGACGTAAAGCTAAAAGATTCAATCAAATGCTAATACTTATGACCATTCTATATTTTGAAAAATTGAAACGTAACATTTTGGAATACCGCGTCAAACCAATGATAACGACAATTATGGGTCTATCACAACCTGCAGAAAAAACTTGCTCCGTTGTTTTTTAACACAATAATAGAGTTATGTACCATTTGGGAAAATAAATAACATACTGGACACACGAATGGAAATTATAAATATTCCCAGCAAAGGACTTAGGAGCACTATTGCCCTCTTATTATTAGATTGTCTTGGTTATAAGATAAAGAATAGATTTATTTCACAAATGATATTAAATATGCAATTTCAGTTTAAAATGTAAAAGAATATGAGTTGAATATTATTGCGTTTTTAATCTTGAATGCAGTTATTATTTTGTGTAATGCTTTTTACAATGTTTATTATAATCTGTTTTTATGTCAAAGATTTGTAAAAAATCGTGCAATTCAGCCTTTGGGCTGCAATGTGATTTTTGAATAAATAAACCATTATATATATGTCGGTATTCATGATCGGTCTGCTTTTGAAAAAAATGATAGGTCTATGTACAATATACGTTTTGATTGGTTTGATAAGCCAGTTTAAGATTTAAATTGACATGAAGTATAAATACAATTGGATCTGATTTGGGATGAAAGGAATCTGCTGCACATATACGTGGTCATACTTGGGGAAGTTCCTTTTTCGAAGTTTGGTTTTTTACAAAAGTTCATAATTCCAAAGACTTGTAAATTGGAAACACGAATATTTCAAATCATGGGATTCATCATTTCAAAAATGAAATAGGGTTTATTTTTCCAATATTGGAAGCGCTTTTAGACAGTTCGTATAACCAAGGTTACATTATTCTGAAGAAAAAAAAGAAATTTAGTTTATTATACCGAAAGTTCAAACTTTCTCAAGCAAAAAAGGGTTATATCTCATTTTCGGAATTACGAATTTTCGAAAATATAATTACCCTATTTAACTTTCGGAATTACAAGACTTCAAAATTATGAACCTTCAGAGAACCGAGCCTTTAGCATTACGAATCTACAAAGTAACAAACTTGCGAAATTATGTACTTTTGGTAAAACGACATGGAACCTTTTTTGTTATCTTTGTGTGTAAGCTGATAACGACTATTTACCTCCTGTATTTATGGGAGCATCGCAAACTACTCCAGCATCTTTAGAATGATCACACCCGTTTGCATAGGGGGTATCAGAGTGTGTACAATCACGGATATGGTTCTCAGCTCCTGTACAACCAACGTCATCTATTTTAATAAGACCAGAGCCTTCTCCGAATCGAGCTGGTCGTGCTTTACAAGCCTCCTCGAATCCTAACATGCGGCAGACAACATTGGCATCGTCGATACCCCATCTAGTATTACATATAGTTCCCCATTCTTCAAGCAGGATTTCAACCCTTCCCTCTGCTGCGTTGTTACCACCAGCAAGACGTACATCTAAAAGATTAAATCAAATGTTAATACTTATGACTATTCTACATTTTGAAAAATGAAACGTAACATTTTGGAATACCGCGTCAAAGCAATGAAAACGACAATTCTGGGACTATCACAACCTGCGGAACCACTTCCTCCGTTGTTTTTGAACAAAATAATATTTGGGAAAATGAATAACATACTGGACACACGAATGGAAGTTATAAATATTCCCTGCAAAGGACTTAGGATAACTATTGCCCTCTTATTATAAGATTGTCTTGTTTATGAGATATAAAATAGATATATTTCACAAATCATATTAAATATGCAATTGTGACGTGTCGGTATTTATACTCGGTCTGCTTTTCGTGGAAAAAAATGATAGGTCAATGTACAATATACGTTTTGATTGGTTTGATAAGCCAGTTTAAGATTTAATTGACATGAAGTATAAATACAATTGGATCATGATTTAGGATGAAAGGAACCTGCTGTACATATATGTGGTCATACTTGGGGACATTTCTTTTTCGAAGTTTGGTTTTTACAAAAGTTCATAATTCCAAAGATTTGTAAATTGGAAACAGGAATATTTCAAATCATGGGATTCATCATTTCAAAAATGAAATAGGGTTTATTTTCTCCAATATTGGATGCACATTTTGACAGATCTTATAACCGAGGTTACAATATTCTGAAAGAGAAATATAGTTTATTAAACCGAAAGTTCAAACTTTCTCAAGCAAAAAAGGGTTATAGCTCATTTTCGGAATTACGAATTTTCGAAAATGATGAACCTTCAGAGAAACGAACCTTTGGGCATTACGAATCCACAGAAACAAAGTGGCGGAATTATGTACTTTTGGTAAAACGACAAGGAATCTTTTTTTAAAACTTTGGAGGTAAGCTGATAACGACTTTTTACCTCCTTCAGCAATGCAAACTACTCCGGCATCTTGAGAATGACTGCTACAAAAGGAAATTCCGAAACCAGCGTGTCCACACTCAAAGATAGTATGTTCATCTCCTGTACAGGTAACGCCAGATAGATGAATGGAACCAGTGCCTCCTCCGAAATAAGAATCTCCTGAAGCTTCAGAAGCCTCCTGGAATCCTAGCATGCGGCAGACAACATGGGCATCGTTGATATCCCATAAATAATTACAGATAGTTCCCCAGTTCATGTCCTTGATACTGGATTTCAACAGTTCCCTCTGCGTTGTTGTTTCCACCAACCAGACGTACAGCTAAAAGATTAAATCAAATGTTAATACTTATGACTATTCTACATTTTGAAAAATGAAACGTAACATTTTGGAATACCGCGTCAAAGCAATGAAAACGACAATTCTGGGACTATCACAACCAAAGTTATTTACCATTTGGGAAAATGAATGACATACTGGACACAGGAATGGAAGTTAAAGATATTCCCAACGGACTTAGGGGTACTATTGCCCTATTATAAAAAGATTGTCTTGTTTAAAAGATAAAGAATAGATGTATTTCACAAATGATATTAAATTCAATTGTGTCATGTCGGTATCAATAATCGGTCTGCTTTTCGTAAAACATTAAATGCCTATGTATAACATACGTTTTTGATTGGTTTGACAAGTCATTTTTGAAATTTGAATTGACATGAAGTATAAGTACATTTGCATCCTGATTTGGGATGAAAGGAAACTGCTTTACATATACGTGAATCACGTATATGTAAAGCAGTTTCACGTGATCATACTTGGGGAAGTTTCTTTTTCGAAGTTTGGTTTTTAAAAGAGTTCATAGTTCCAAAGATTTGTAAATTCGAAAATGAAATAGGGTTTTATTTTATCCAATATTGAATGCTCTTTTAGACAGTTCGTATATCCGAGGTTAGATTATTCTAAAAAAGAAATATAGTTTATAGCTCATTTTCGAAATTTACGAATTTTCGAAAATATAGTTACCCTAATAACTTTCGGAATTACAAGACTTCAAAATTATGAACATTCAGAGAAACGAACCTTTGGCATTTCGAATCTACATCAGGCACACACGCAGGGGGGGGGGGGGGGGGTTAACCCTATGTGCATGTTATATATAAGCTTTTTGGGACCCCCCCCCCCCCCCTTTTGATTTGTTTATATATTTTTTTTTAAATTTCAAATGCCAATACACAAAAATTTAAAAAAAGTGTCCGCTACCCCCCCCCCCCCTTGAAAAAAGAATCCTGCGTACGCCACTGATCTACATAGTAACAGACTTGCAGAATAATGTACTTTTGGTAAAACGACATGGAACCTTCTTTAAAACTGTGGGTGTAAGCTGATAACGATTATTTACCTCCTTCTAGATCTGCTGGAGCAGTGCAAACTACTCCGGCATCTTCAGAATGACCACACTCTTCTGTATCGAAAGATAATTTACAGGAATAAATCTTTCCCTCAGTTCCTGTACAGTCAACGTCAGCTACTGCAATGCCACCAGTGCCTTGTCCAAAATGAGCTGATCCTGGAGCTGCAGAAGCCCCCTGGAATCCTCGCATACGGCATACAACTCCGGCATCGTTGAGATCCCATCCATTATCACAGACAGTTTTCCAGACTAAGCTACTACGGATTTCAACCCTTCCCTCTGCTGCGTTGTTTCCATCAACCAGACGTAAAACTAAAAGATTAAATCAAATGCTAATACTTTTGACCATATTATATTTTGAAAATTGAAACGTACCATTTTGGAATACCGCGTCAAAGCAATGATATAGTATTGCTTTGAGAGAAATAGTTGTTTTTATACGCTCAAGGGAAGGTTAGAATTGTGCTATTACCCGAGGCGTGCCGAGGGCAATAGCCCAATTGTAACCTTCCCGAGAGCGTATAAAAACAACTATTTCTCGAATATTAAAGCAGTCATTAATACTTTTATATGCCGAAAAAAAAAAACTTGTGTCGAAGATGGGATTCCATCTCTTGCGTACAAAAGGTGATGTAACTAAAACCACCGCCTTAAACCGCTCGGCTATCGCGCTCTGTTACCATACATAGCAGTTTTTTTCTTATATATACATTAAAATGAATTGAAAACGGCTTCGCGTGGTGGATGCTTCGCGGCTGCTCCATTAAACAGGCCCTTCTTTTACTTTTGCAATGCATATTGGCACGAATTTAGATCAATATCTATCGGCAGATGTTGTTTTTTTGTTTTTGGAAGTTTATTTTCGTCTTCATGTCAACAATGCAAGATAAAATTGTCGGTAAGATCGATCGAGATTCAATTGTATTGAAATTACTGACCAATTCTTCGCACACGTACGGTATCCTCGATCGCTCAGACCATTTGTTAACATGTAAACCTATGGGGTAACCATGGAGACTGAACTATTTTCCCAATAACCATGGTTACTGGGATTATAGAACTGTTTTAACCATGGTTACTGGAAATTTTACAGAAATAGTTGAAGTTTATGAATGCAATTGCGACCAATCCGATGGCTGGATTTCTTAAGTGAGGTATATAAAAACCATCATTAACCGTATCAGACATCTGAGCAGGTCAATTTTTAAATGTTATTGCCCTCAAGGTTTGATGGATAAGCCAACAAAGTTACAATATTTTAGCCCGCTCAGAAAATTCAATGGGATTTTGTGTGTAATTTGCCGGTCAATATGGTTATACAGTAAACCAATGAACAAATATTTTAGCCCGCTCAGTAAAGTCAATGGGATGTGTGTGTGTAATTTGCCGGTCAATATGGTTTATACAGTAAACCAATGAACAAATATTTTAGCCGGCTCTGAAAAGTCAATGGCAAAATGCGTGTTTAACTAGTGAGCGACAATAGAGCCAGTTGTATTTTACATCGCGCATCGCGTATAGGAAAATGCGCACTTTGCGCGAACTCTATTGTGACGTAACAATCACACCCTAGGCAAACTCTTTGCAGTGTATCGAAAATTTGTTAAACACTGAATGCACAGTGCTGGTTTGACAATGTTTTTGAACCTTTTAATGCTAGGAAACCCTGTGTAGCCTACACAATTTAAGAGTATAAGATATAATAAGAGTTTCTTGTTTGCTCTACTAGTTGTCTGATGTGGTTAATAATAGTAATATTGACTACCTAATTCAGGGCAATACGACTTGTCCTATATCACCCTCACCTTCGGTTCGGGCGATATATGTCGTATTGCCCAGAAGGCAGTCAATATTACTTAAATATCCGTCCGGTCAATACCAGGTCAATAAACGCGCGCGTACACGTACGTCCGCGCATTAGTGCGCGGGCAAAATATTAAAATGCTCACAATCGTCTCTCAATTTATTATGCATATATTTTGAGCATTTGTCAAAAAATCGCGCACACGCGCAACGTTCGTCATGGTCGTACCTGGAGACCGCCCTTCATATTTAGATAGAGTATGAGTCGGAGATATGATTTCATGTCTTATTTGGCCTTTAAGTATATCATGACATCATCATACCGGCCTTTGAACTCAAAATACGAATTTGCATATTATGACGTATGCATGGTTATGGAAAATGATTGTAACTCTTTGAATATTGATTTTTTTTTTTTCCTCCCAATTTTGATGAGTTGTAGCTGAGACACAAAAAAATTTAAATCATATTTCGTTTTGATGACGTCATCATAGTGAAAATTGCAATAAACGCGACATGTCAGAATTTTCTTAATTTGCGTGTAATGCCTATGGAAGGTGAATGTCGTTCACATCATGAATCTACATGACATTTTTCTTCTATCATCCTTATGATCATCGTCATCCCTATCACCGTCATCATGATCATCAATGTAGGCCTATACTGCAACATCAATACGTCCCATATCCAGTTGTGCAGACTAAATAACAGACCACTTAATTCGTTCCACTAACAAATTAAATTTCACGTCTTACACGATTTTCGTACATGTGGTGTAAGTAACCAGGTTCGATGATTACTTTACATTTAACATAAATATACCTGACGAATATTTTTGGATTTAGTGCCTTTTGGAGTGAAACATTAGAAAGCGTTTTTCAGGAAAAAAAAATCTCTTAAGATTTGTTTATCAATAAACATAATTTTACCATCAGAAATTATTTTGAAAAATGCTTTGATAGCAAATTACGTGTTTTTTTTTGTGTTTTTCTTATTTTCTGATCTCACATGAAAGAATTTATTACGAGGGTCGGATTGCCCTTTTAAACTCGTTTTAATATAAGTTATATTTTAAGGGAAACGAAAGTTGGTAAATTCATTGAAATATATAGTATGTTTACGCTAAAGCAAGTTTAAAGCCCATTTGTACTAGTTTGGCCAGGGGGTTTAGACCTCTATGCACGGTCACTGACAGGTGGTTATCTCATCAAATCAGCTCTCAATTAACATAGAAAAAGATGATAATTGGGGGACCAACAGGCACTGATAAGACATCGTTTTATATATATATATATATATATATATATATATATATATATAGAGGGCGCAAGTAGCTATAAGTAGTGCAGTGGGGCTTAAACGAATATCATTACCCTACACACGCCTTACCTTGCCCGCTTATGTGTGTAGCACTGATTCCCAAGACAAGAGCGAAGTAGGCCCAAAACTTGATAGACATCGTTGATGATTTGATCTGTATAAATAGGAAAATATTCCTCTCTTTAAAATGAAATCGAGTTCTGATTACGTGATTAAATGTTAAATTGAGCTGTGTAGAAGATGCTTCTTAAAGGTTGATTGTGGTACATGTACATACACACGCAAATAATTGGCGATTAGAATAAGCATGGGAATCATCAAAATGACAAAGTTTGGGCTTAAACATGCTGAAAATCACATGAACATGCGCCCACAAACAAAGAAAAAAATATATATATATACGTATATATATATATATATATGGGACTTCTACCTATATGAGGCATGAACGTTCGGCGGTTTATACTTTTCAGAAACTTCTCAGTCATCATATTATCAGGGCCTCTGAAGAGTCATACATTTCACGGTACATTTCCTTGCTAGGATGTTCTTCTAACATCACATACAAGAACGAGAAAACACATAACTCATTCCTAAATATAGGAACATTTTACAACAAACGCATAAAAATATATAATTTACAAAAAAATGAGGAAAATCTCGGCAAATTATGTCATTTAAGCATTACGTATATAAACCACCGTAACGGTTATGGAATCAGAAATAAACCCCCTTTTTCGTTCAGTGGCTTGGGGGATGGAACACTTTTTTTCAACAAAACAAATCTTCCCCCCCCCCTTTTTTTTCCCCTATTTTTTTTCTCCTTTCTTTTGTTTTCCTTCTTCTTTTTTTTCCTTCAGCTACTGGGGGCTCCGCCCGCTGGCCCCACGCCAATCAGTGTCCTGCCAGTGTCACAAATCAGGTATAAAAATATGTTCATCTGACCGTTATCAAATGCCCAAAACCCCTGAGCTTCGGGGGGATCTGCCCCCTGGACCCCGCCTAGGGCCCTAAGGCGGACCCCTGGATCTTAATATGACGGCAATTTAATGCGTAAAACCCCTGAGCTTCTGGGGGCTCCGGCCGCTGGACCTCACGCCAATCAGTGTCCTGCCAGTGTCACAAATAAGGTATAAAAAATATGTTAATCTGACCGTAATCAAATGCCTAAAACCCCTGAGATTCCGGAGTTTCCGCACCCTCGACCCCTCGACCCCACGAATCGTCTTCTTTCTCGAATGATTTAATGAAATGTAAAGGCTTCCGCGCTCTGCGCAGGAGAGGGAAACTGAATTCAAACGAGGATTAAGAGTCGAGAACAGTACAACAAATCGTTTCTTTCTCTAATGATTTAATGAAACGTAAAGGCTTCGGCGCTTCGCGCGAGAGGGGGGGGGGGGGAGGTGGGTAAACTGAATTCAGACGAGGATTATTTTCGAGAACGGTACAACGAATCGTCTTCTTTGTCCAATAATTTAATGAAATGTCAAAGCTTCGGCGCTTTGCGGAGGGAGGTGGAAATCGCCCCTCCCTGCGCCCCCCCCCCCCACCCATGCAGGTCGCCATTACATACCGATATTTGGCTCGCATAATTTCAAATTTGGGCCCCCCTATGGAATCCTGGATCCGCGCCTGGTGTAGAGCCTCTTAAGCGTTGGGAGCCTCAAAAGTTTGATGGTAAAATTTGTCTCAAATTGTATCATAATGTGAAAGAGGATCTAATTTAAGACATATTTCTGCGAGGATTTTCAAAACAAATGCTTTTAAAATCGAATATTGATGAAAGAATACAAAATTTAGATTTTTCTGCGTACAACAGAATACCCAAATTATTGTTCTGCTTCTTATGAAGCTAACTTAATATCAGGGTGGACTTTTCCTCCCTGTATCCAATAATAAGCAGAAAAGTGTAATATATTCCTTTTTCCATTAGACCATTTTTCTTCAACATGTCTCAGCAACAATTTGTTTATATTCTCTCAGCAAAATAAACCAATATTTTAAATATATAAAGGGCGTCTATAGGTTGTTTTTTTTATTAACAAAACTTTAAAAAGTACGCAAAACGTTGTTTGAATAAAAAGCTAAACTCTGACCGAATGTTGCCTGCCCCAGATATCGATTTGCACAATCATGAATTGTATGTACTAATTCCAATCATGTTTTCACTCCGATGGATTGATTATACTCCTTAGCATGTAAAACAAGCTATAACAAACACACCGTTTGGAATAGTAGAATTGTAAACAGGTATACGTTAGGTTCTTGATTATAACATTGTGCATGACAATCAAACCTTTCTGATTATCTTAATAATTAAAACACCATATGGAATTGAATCGTAAACAGGTAACCATAGGTACCTGATTAGTGCACGGCAATTAAACCTTTCTGATTATCATAATAATTAAAACACCATATGGAATAGAATCGTAAACAGGTAACCTTAGTTTCTTGATTATGTGCATAACGATAAAAACTTCCTGATTATAATAATACTAAAACACCTTTGTTTTACAATCTTCTTAGGCCCTCTTCCAAATAAAAGATAAGAGATAAAAGAGGTAAAAGTAATTATAGTTGTACAGGTTAATGCACACAGAAATTCAAGTCCATTTAATTGAAAGGGTGTACAAGCAGGCTAAGGTAATGAGAGTATTATGCAAATCATATTATCTAGGTACTCTAAAATGCAAAGATTCTCCGGAGTCATACATTTTGCACAATAGAAATTTTAGTTATTTTGTGAAAAATTGTTGGACATCCGTGGTGGATCCAGGGGGGGGGGGGGGGGGGGGGGTTGAGCGAATTATCGGCCCCCACGATTTTCAAATTTTCGGGAGCAAAACAATAAATAAATTAGTGCTCACTACCCCCCCCCCCCCCCACCCCCTCCCCCACTATGCGAATTATCGGCCGGATGTTTCGCCGCTAACAATTTTTCTCACGAATTGGGCCCCCTATCCTGCCGCCGGCTGGATCCGCCCCTGATGTCTTTAGTCCTGTTGCTATAAAGCAAATGTGACTTACCTCTTCTTCATTTTCCATTCTTTCCTCCAGCATAATCAGGTAGTTTAACCGTGCATTTAACCTATCGAGTTGACTTTGTACCTTCGAGATTCCTAATTATTGTCATACGTCCTTATTTGTACCACAAGTTCATTTCCATAGTTTTTGTTATCACCATAAAGTCATTATTTTGAAGATGAAAAAGTCACTAACTGGTTCGCATTCTTCTTGCTTTGAATTGTTTTTCTGTATAAACCGTATAACTTGTTCGTCCTCGGATGTCCAATTTCCAGACATCTTCTAGAAAGAATAACAATAATTTAAGTATGAAATTTAACAAAAGTTGTGTGAATCTAAAATACGATGTTGTAAAGATCGCTCCCACTTAAGGTCTAAAGATCGCTTTTGGAGATGATGACATTTGATCATGTGTGGAAAATCAACCAATGTTATATAACTAAGGCAAATTTCAGAATATTAATATTATTAATTAAAATTAAGTACACATATGTATTGATTTGTAGTTAAAATCAATTATTGCAACTCCTTAAACAATAAAACAACTATTTTACCCAACTAGTAAAAGTTAACGAATTTATTTATGTCAAGCTTATTTCAGAAGACGTATTTCCGTTACCATTTGTGTAATTTCGTTACCGCTACCTTTGTTCAAAAAACCATCCAGCATAGATAATCTATGACAACTTCACCCCAAAAACTCTTAATATGGGACAGTCAACAATACAAGCAACCTTTTTTAGCATTACTTCATCCCCAATGGGCTGCAGATTTCAGAAGAATTATTTTCAAAGTAATGGGAAAAAATAACCGAATTTTTGTGTCGTAATTCCGTTACCGACACATTTTTTTTTCCTGGGGTGTTTCGAATGAAGAATTTTTTTATATTTTTGATTTTGATTTGCTAGCAGGTGCATAACACAATAATGTTTACAAAAGTAAATAATCAGCTAGGTCTAACCACCTGTTTACAGTATATACAAATCGAGCCAAAATTTCTCTGAAATGTAATTCCGTTACCGTGAAATTGCCCACATGTATCATTTCCAAGATATCTTGAAAAACAAATGTATATAATTAATTGGATTATTCACCTACAGTGTTGTACACATGTATATCGTTGCTTCATACTAGATTTGTAATGATGATTTAATGAGTAAATTTGGTTCTATAAAGTTTGAATCCTTGGGTTTTATAATAGATCGGACACAAACAAAAAAGATACTGACAACCGTACATGTTCTGTTCATTTCATGACCCGAAGGAGATACAGGAGAGTTGATGTTCCTTTTTTTAAACTTTGGATTTGAAGTTATGGGGGGGGGGGGGGAGCTACCGTGTTTTAGATATAGGTCAGTAATTCAATTTCCAGATCATTGTGTATGGATGTATTACAAAAACATTACATATGATTGATATGAAGCTTGTAAACATCAGCCTGCTTATGAGGAAACAAATAACTGATGCTAGACACTACACAAAAGAGAGTGGCTTCAAGTGTACCTAACCATATGCACCCGTCCTTAATAGTTTCATACAGGTGGTGGTTAAACAATCCTGAATTTCAGGTGTTATGTACCTGTACTATTTCTACATGTTTGAAGAACTAATATTAACCGATGATGGAATTTGTATTCATATTTAGCATGAGCAGGTGTCCATGCGGACTTATTTCTCCACACACAAAAAACTTGTTAAATAACAATTTAAAATCCAAATTTTTCAATGGGCAAGTTTCATCATCTCCAACCGTGATCTTTAGACAGGTTTTTTTTTTTTTACAAACACAAACATTCATAACACCTGACATTCAGGAGTGTTGAACCACCACCTGAAACTATTGAGGACAGGTGCATATGGTGCAAATTCCATAGACACACATGTTAAAAGTCAGTTCAAAAAAAGAAAATACCTATCCGAAATTCAAAAAGTAACACATTCCTAAAGATCTTTAAGAAACACGTGTTGTAAGTCAATTTTTGCTTGAAAAAAAAATTAAGTCCATATTGAAAAATCACTAAGTAAAATTCAAAAAGTCAAAATCCTATAGACACGCGTGTTATAAGTCCGTTTTCAAAACTTTCGTACACGAGTCAATTAGAAATAGTATAAGTACGAACAAATTCGTGTACAAACCCTATGACAATCCCCATACTCACTGCTATAACTACTCCCCCCTCCCCGATCAACAAATTGTTGGCGGGAAAACTGCAACTAATATCCCCAGTCTTTACTTTTCTTCTTCCTTTTATTTTCCTTACATTTCTTCTCAATTTTTTTTTGTTTTTGTTTTGTTTGGGGGGGGGGGGTAGGGGCAAGGCCCTTTCGTCCCCCATCTCCTTTTCCCCTTTTTCTTTTCTTCTTCCTTTTCTTTCTTTCCTTTCTCTCCACTTTCCCTTCTTTTCCTTCTCTCTCTCTTTTCTGGGGGGGGGGGGGGCAAGGCCCCCTCGGTCCCCCTGGATCCGCCCCTGCCATAGCCTACAATATTGCTCAAATATTTGGAAGATTGGCATAATGAGGAATGAATCAGGGGTGATACTAGAATAATTATGGGTTTATTCAAGAAAATATGAAAACTATTTTCTTTTTTTTTCTGTCGGCTTGATAATTTTTAAACGGCTAAATATCTGCGACATGCATTTATTCATACGCACGTTTTCAAAATGTCTAATAACCAAATAGGTAAATGGATAAATAATGCGCTGCAATTTTAAATAGTATCGATTCAGTCTCCAAGTATTCAGTAATTAAATCTTTCAATTAGTCATTTCCCAAGCTATTATGTGGCCAAGGTAACATGAATTTGATCACGTGAGACTACAACGATTGTAAATTGTTCAGGCTTAAAGTGTTGCAATGAATAAATATAATATTAATTACATATAATGATAAAATGTATATGATAGGCAATCGTGTGTATGTAAGAGGATCACACGGCACTGTCATTCCAGTGACAAGGCATTCATCTCAATTTGCTTCTCCCATCCCATGAGAGGTGAATGGTTACCCGATGGAAAGAAATTCCTTGAATACTCGTGTAGGCCTACCGTACAGATCACGGTAGCTCGACTAAGCCAGGGTAAAATTATCATCATCATCATCATCATCATAATCACCATCACCATCATGTTGTTCACCATCATCAGGCGCGTACGCAGGGGGGGGGGGGGGGGTGGGGGGTGGGGGTTTGGGTTAAACCCCCTTGAGTTTTTTTTTGTATGTTTTTTGGGAAAACCCCCACCCCCTTTTGAATTTTTTTTTCTTGCGATTTTTTTTTTTGTTAGACCCAAACAAAAAAGTGTCCTATTACCCCCCGCTTATTCAGCGGCTGGCTGAGTCGTTGCGATTTTTTTGGCCCGATTTTAATCCCCCCCCCCCCTCCTTGAAAAAATCCTGCGTACGCCACTGACCATCATCATATTAGTTTGAATAAAAAAGATATGTAACCTTCCGAAATTAATAAAATCATTTCATATGATAATATGATCACACATTTGAAATACTAATTTCCGACTCATAAAGAGATAAAACTCTGAAAAAATAATAATAATAAGGAGTTTTTCTCTTTTATTAATTTTCGTTATCATCAGTTTGTAGTCTTTTTTCTTTTCTTTTGGGGTTGGGGTGGGGGAACTCTCTGAAATAACTACATGCAGCTCAAAAAAAAATCCAAATCTACGACTTCCCCTCTTCTAGATACATGTAGATCAAAAAATACATTTTAAAATAAAAGATTCAAGTTTTTTGTCCTGAAAAGAGATGCTTTAAAAATACTAATAATGATAACGGAGAAATTAAGAGAGAGGGAGAGAGCCTGAAAATGACAGAGACAATAATCAAGAAAATACAATCACGAAACTGAATAAACTTACCTAATGCACTAAGAGTCCGGTGAATCCAGTGTCTTCTATTTGACTATATCTTTGAAACAAATGAGAAATCTGAGTCCGTGCTTCGCTTTAACCTATACACCGGAATGAACAACCAACCTGTTGAACGCCAGAAGATAAGATGATGCTTATCATTGGTATCGCCTTCCGCACGAGTGCTTGGTATGAGAGCGCGCGCGTATGGCGGACGGAACCTGCCATATTGGTGACAACTATACAACCATACATCGATTCGATGGATGTAAGGTTTTAACCAATCAGAACGCAGGAAACTGTACGACGCGCGTGCTCCGGTGGCAGCCATCTACTTGTGTCAATATGAGGGCACACACAATCCGTCTTGCTTCTTGCTTTGATTTGATTTATTTATTTCTGTTTTATTTGAACAAGTCTATTTCTATGGTTGTCCTGCTTTTTGTTAGAGTAGTTTGTTTAATTTATGATTTAGATTGGCATTAATTTCAAGCCGATATTGGCAACGAGACAGTACTTGGGTCTGGTATTAAGAGAGAAATGTGCACGCCCCTACAACTGACGTTAATTTGATTTGGTTTGATTTGATTTATTTATTTCTGTTTGATTTTCTTTTTCTTTTGCAGTTTTACAAATATGTAACAAACAAAACACTGCACATTTTACACATGACAAGAGAATATATGTAGAATAAAGTAAGGCTGGCTGTAACTAATTGAAAACATCAAACAGGACGGTTCATTTTCACTGGCTGCCTGCCGTAATTAAGAAGCAGAATTGAAAAAAAGAATTAAACTCCGTTTCGTTGACAATCAGCCATGCACTAAGTATTTCGTCTACGTCTGATTGTCAACGAAACGGGGTTAAGTCTTTTGTTAATTCCGTTTGTTGCTACGACAGACAGCCAGTGAAAACGAATTCGTTTAATAAAATTATGGAAATGCAAGCACTAATTTAAAGAAACAGAACTTTGTTATTCCTAGCTATTTTTTCCTGATTGAGGTGTCATATGAAAGGGCAGAAACTCACCTTTCTAGAAATGTGATTTTCTCTTTGAAATTCAGATACCGTCCGCCAAATGACTTTTTGGTTTCCTCTCTTTAAATCCATTTTAATCACTCATGCGTGAAATATGCATCATTATGAGTTGCATCAAATGAAAGCAGAGGATCTAAGCTTTCCAAAATATGTGTAATTTATTAATTTTAACTGTGATTAAGTTATTATAAACAATCGATAATTCTCGGTTTCGTTTTTTCTGGGACGCACTGTATAGGGAACAGAGAAAACCGATGTCGACTAGCACTTGTGCTAATTTTTTCTTCTTTTAGCAACAACTTGAACTTTTGTATAAATGTATTTTATGTAAGCATTAAGCTTTTGCAGTAATTCAATGTTTTGTACATTATGTACAGTTTGTATTTTATTGTTTTGCCTTGCATACTTTGTTTTATGATGTACATTCATTTTGTTGTTGTTAATAAACTTCAAAACCTCATATTGCTGCACTGAGACTCTAAGGCATGAAGCCAATCTGGGTATCAGAGTCTTCGTGGTTATGTACTAGATGATGATTTTGCCTTTCATCAATAGTAACTAAGTTTCCAGACCAATCATGAGATGATTGCAATTCCACATGGAATCCACCAGAGGTTATAAATACTTGCTCTGAATTCCTGAAATGAGATGGAACAACATAAAGGCATTTATGAATAAATACCATGCACAACGTATACTTCTGTGAACGCCTTTTAAAGAATTTCATCCAGTTTTTTGGGGAAGGGGAACATCATCATCTACATGCTAAAACACTTCTTCTTTATCACCTATGCTTCATCTCTACATGATCGCTCCATACCTTTTAGCGATAACCCTTGGGTATCTGCCTGATCGACCAAAATACGTCTTTCTTTAAACAATTGCATAAAGTTCTATGAAACCCATCCCACGACAATAAAATTGGCATAATCCATGAACACCCGGAAATGTTTCAATGGTGATGTATATATAATATTCATACATTCAATTGTGATACATGAATTTGGTTGCACATGGAAGGTAGACTTAATTATTTTATATTGTGAACTATATCTTTTATCAAAATAGTTATATATTACAGATTTGGTTCCCTCATTATAGCAACCCATTCGATGCACAAATTGCTCGTGAAACAGATACATAGTGACACAGAAAGTTGTCGTTCTGCATCTCTAAACTTATCCAGGCCTGTATGTTTCCCTTTATCAAACTTGATACAGGAAACTACATTTGTTATCTGTTGCATGAAATGTTCATTTGTAAGTGTAACTTCTTTGCCGTGTCTGTGTTCTAGAAAGAATTTAATTAAGCGCATGAAAACAGCCTCGTAACTCTGCATCATAAATATGTGAGTTCTCTTGAAAGATGCACATGTTGCTAAACTCTGGAAAGTAATTTTTATGGGCCAAATGAGCGATATCTTTAAATCCAGCATGCCAAAATGATTGTTATGATAACTTTCTGGTAATTAATGTGTTATTTTACAAACATATTGCTCCGGTTTTCTCATTTTCGCTCGCTGGAACATTGCCAGCACAAACCACTGACCTCTACCTCCTGGACGGATCATCGCCCATTCCCATTTACTATACGTTACGTACTAAAAGGCCGTATTGTCTGACCGTTCATGAATATTCATGTTTTTGCTTACCTCGGCAAAATGTTTGCTTTTACTAAATAGAAAAATTACGGTGGGGGTTGAATGAAATGGACATAATGAACCAAGCAGAAGTGATCTATGATAATTTATGCTTCTTATCATTCGTGTGCTTGACCTACAATCTTAAAATCGCTTGGCAATCTGATTCCAAAGTTCGACTTGTTTCACATGTGTATTATAGGCAATGGCGAGCTTGCAACCTATTTTGATCAAATTACGGTGGGTGAACTTTCAAAAGTCAATGGGACATGAGGGTTCCAATGAAAAAGCTAGTGACAACGTACGTCGGGGGTGGATGTGCTTTTCGTTTAAACCAAAAAAATGAATTTTTAACGATTTTGGGGGTAAAATTCCAAAGGCTAACATGTCATGCTGCTGACTCTGACGATAGGGGGCGTTGTGAAATGAGACTAAACGGAGCTATATGCGTTTCGATCCCATCCCCACTACTTTTAAGGTGTTACCACTTACCAATCTGCCATGAAAGTTGAAAATAACATCAAACAAGCCACACTGTAAAAACCCGGGTGTAGACATTCTTACACCAGCATGGTGTTGAATTTTTTTTTTGACACCAGTGGTATTATTTTGAAACCACTGGTGTTATTTTTAACACCGGTCAGATTTACTGGGTGTTAAGTAACATGGTGTAGTTTTATGCTCGGTGTTGAAAGTATCATCACGTGGTTTCGCTTAAGGCGGTTGATTGGTCGAATAAATTGTCACAAAGGGTACGCGCGCTTAATGATTACTTCACACGTGTTCACAGACAAATACATCTATCATGATTTGTTAAGCAAATTATGACAATGCACATCAATTTTGTGATTTGTACTTTCCTTTTGGCAATTATTGACCAATAGACTATTTGTCCGATCTTGTTGCAATTACATTAACGTTTTAGCAATAGATATATTGATTATATGATTACTAACCAAGAAACAACATGCATGTTTATTATATATTTGTGTACCAGCCCGTACCAATTAAATGTTAATCTTGAATTTACTTCAAATGATATGTGTGATGGACTTAATGCAATGGAGATTAGAATATATCTATCGGTGGACATTTGCCAACATCGATTGTGAATTATCAGTCAGTGGCGGATCCAGGGGGGGGGAGGGAAGAAAAAAAAGGGGTACAAAAGAAGGGGGAAAAGGGGGGGGGAAAGAAAGAAAAAAAAAGAAAAAAAGAAGGAAACAAAAGGGGAATTTTTTTGTTTTAAATTTCGAAAAAAAATGTTCCTTCCCCCCAAGCCACTGAACAAAATATCTGACGACGTAATTTTTCCAATTTCCGGGGCAAAAAAAAGAAATGTGGAGAGAAAGGGAAAGAAAAAGAGAAAGAAGAAATGTAGGGTAGATCAGTTGCGATTTTTCCGCCAACAAAGTGTAGATCAGGGGGGGGGGGGCACTGGTGTCTTGATCGGGGAGGGGGTTTATTTCTGATTCCATAATCGTTACGGTGGTTTACGCACAATGTTGAAATGACATAATTTTCCGAGATTTTTCCTCATTTTTTAGTAAATTATACATTTTATGCGTTTGTTGTAAACGACAAATTCCTAAATTTACAGCCAGGCAAGAAATATGCTTCTTAAGGTGCCTACATGTCAGGCCCGCGGAACGGCGGGGATCGGGAACTTCCAGCTCCCTCCCCCCCCCCCCCCCCCCCCCACACACACACTTTTTGGACAAAGTATATTAAAGAGAAATAGAAAGAAAAATAGCAAGAGAGAAAGAATAGTTAACTGCCAGTGTCACAACAAAATAAGGTATAAAACATATGTTCATCTGACCGTAATTAAACGCCTAACCCCCTGGGCTTCCAGGGGCTCTGCCCCCTGGACTCAACCAACGGCCCTAAGGCGGGCCCCCTGATATTCATCTGACCGTAATTCAGTGCCTAAAACCCTTGAGCTTCTGGGGGCTCCGCCCGCTGGACCCCACGCCAATCAGAGTCCTGCCAGTGTCACAAATAAGGTATAAAAATATGTTCATCTGACCGTAATCAAATGCCTAAAACCCCTGAGCTTCCGGAAGATCTGCCCCCTGGACCCCTGCTAGGGCCCTAAGGCGGACCCCTGGATTCTGATATGACGGTAATTTAATGCCTAAAACCCCTGAGATTCCGGGGTTTCCGCACCCTCGACTCCACCAGGGCCCTATTAAAAGGCGGGCCCCTGAATGCTTGTTTGACCGTAATGTATTGCCTTAATCCCCTGAGTTTCCGGGAGCGGACAAGGTATCAAAATATGTTCATCTGACCGCAGACGCGTAGCCATGGGGGCGGTGCCCCCCCCCCCCCAAAAAAAAAAAAAAAAAAACACCGGCCAAAAAGAAAGAGAGGTCCTGGAGAGAAAATGAAGAGGACGTCGGAAGAAAAAGGAGCAGACAAAAACATTTTTGAAATTCAGACAAGGATTGAGAGTCGAGAACGGTACAACGAATCGTCTTCTTTCTTT